GCTGAGGCAAGAGAATCGCCTAAGCCCGGGAGTTGGAGGTTGCTGTGAGCTGTGACACCATAGCACTCTACCAAGGGTGACAAAGTGAGACTCTTGTCTTAATAAAAAAACCGAAAAAAACTAGAAACCAGGAAAAAAAAAACATAGTAGCAACAGATAAATTTTAGTAATATTTATTGATTAAAATATGGCTCATATTTTTAAAAAACTGTGGTATGATGTACATAATGTCAAATTCACCATTTTACCCATTTTTAAGAGTACAGTTCAGTGGCATTAAGTAGTTAAGTAAATCCACATTGTTGTAAAGTATTACCACTGTCCATCCCCAGGACTTTTTTTTTTATCTTGTGGCACACTTGGACCTATAGTTAAAAATTTTGTTGATAAAAACAAAGACTAAAGAAAAGAATATACTTACCATGCTTTGAACTTCTTTTAAAAATAATTTGATTAATGATCTTTAAAATTTTTCATGGCACATTTAAGATCCTCTCCCAGCACACTGTTTGAAAATCACTGATCCAGATGCTGGAGGCTCAGCCGTGTACCAACGTGCCCCAAACGTGCTCCAATCTGCAAGATTCTCACTAGAGTCCCTTCATGAGTGAGATGTTGGGATTGAAGAGAGCTCTAGAAATAAGAAGGGGTTTCTTTTCTATCTGAGAGCAACAGCGCAGCTTCCCCTGTTCCTCCACAGAGGAAGGGCTGCACAGATGGATTCTGGAGTGTCCTGGAGGCCCTGTTCACTGGAAAACCTGGAGACTGGATTATTTTTAGTTCCCTTCACCACTGTGTTCCCTGAGCCTGTTTGAGGCATTGTCCCTAGGGGCTGACTCAAACACAAAGCCAGGAGTGGCTTTGCATTTGTTTGGTTTTAGTGAAGAGGTAATTAGAATAAGGCATAGATAGGCATTACCAGTGAATTTACTTTGCTAGGCTATCCTCCCTCCCTACACATACACTATGAATCAAGAATGAGCCGCTGGGCCTGGCGAGGTGGCTCACGCCTGTAATCCTATCACTCTGGGAGGCTGAGGCAGGTGGATTGTTTGAACTCCAGAGTTTGAGACTGGCCTTGAGCCAGAGCCAGACCCTATCTCTGAACATAGCTGGACATTGGTGGCAGGTGCCTGTAGTCCCAGCTACTTGGGAGGCTGAGGCAAGAGAATTGCTTGAGCCAAAGAGTTTGAGGTTGCCGTGAGCTATGATGCTACAACACTTTACTGAGGGCAACAAAGTGAGACTCTGTCTCAAAAAAAAAAAAAAAGAATTAGCAGTGACCATGACATTTGAAGTAGTTCCAACCTCATTCCACTGTGCTATGGTGTCACAGCTCACAGCAACCTCAAGTTCTTGGGCTTAAGTGATTCTCCTGCCTCCGCCTCCCAAGTAGCTGAGCCCACAGGTGCCCACCACAATGCCCCGCTATTTTTTGTTGCAGTTGTCACTGTTATTTAAGTGGTCTGGGCCGGATTCAAACCCACCACCCTCGGTGTATGTGGCTGGTGCCATAATCACTGTACTATGGGCACTGAGCCACCAAGCAGTCTTTACTGCTAAATTCGTAGCAAACAGTGGATTGTTGGTTTATGTGTTTTGAACAATTGATCTGTCTTCTTATCAACTTGGGGAGGGGACTTTGCAGTCAAATTCCAGAGGTTGATCTGTCTTCTTATCAACTTGGGGAAGGGACTTTGCAGTCAAATTCCAGAGGATGAGCCTATAACTGATCCAGGACTATTTCAGAGAGGCTGTGAGGGTTAGAGAGACTATAGGGACTAATTGTTTAATCTCTCTGCATCTTCATTCCCTTACTGTAAATAGGGATGGCTGCTTGTCTTTCTACCTCTCAGTGTTTTTGAGGTTCTGATAGGAACCTGGTACAAGTTCATGCACCACGATGGTGATGTGGATCAACCAGAGTTTGAAGACTGCAGGGAAGGGTGGCCAGGGGAAAGTGTTTCCTCCATAGACACACGTTCCTCACCATGTGGTCCAGAGTACTGTAACAGCCTCATACCCTTAATGTGGAGCCCAGGGCTTCCCCCATTGGATCTGAAGAGTGGTTCCTGCTTTCCCCCAGCTCGAGGAGCCTCCCCTGCCAGGGGAGTGGGTGTTCCTGCCACTCTGCCTCCTACTGGGTTCAGGGAAGTGGGCTCTGTGACACCCCACCCCCCTTACTGTGGTCTCCTCATTAGGATGAGGAATTTGGTCCTTCTGGGTGAGTTATTTCCTACTCTACCCACCAAGTCAATAATTGCAGGTTAGAAACTCATATGTTTCTGTTTTATTTATTTATTTATTTTTGTAGAGACAGAGTCTCACTTTATTGCCCTTGGTAGAGTGCTGTGCTGTCACAGCTCACAGGAACCTCCAACTCCTAGGCTTAGGTGATTCTCTTGCCTCAGCCTCCGGAGTAGCTGGGACTGTAGGTACCCACAAGAACGCCCAGCTATTTTTTTGTTTGCAGTTTGGCTGGGGCCGGGTTTGAACTTGCCATCCTTGGTATATGGGGGCAGCGCCCTACCCACTGAGCCACAGGTGCAGCCCTCATGTTTTAAAGCAAGGATCTCTGGCCAACATATGTGCTTAACAGGGTAGTTGACTGATGGACATCAATGTATTTAGAAAGATTTTTATTTGCTTTGTTTTGATTGGTGTATTAATCTGATTAATTACAAAGCAGCATAGCTTAGCCTCTGCCCGAGCTGATGGTAAAATCTACTCCTCCAATCTCTTTTGTTTTGATTCATCAATTAAACAAATATCTTTTCCATGCATGTCCATGGTTTTACTGTGTAATAAAGGGCGTTTCATGTGTCACAAGAGCAGAGAACCAAAAGTTGAAGTCAGGGAAGGATTCCTGGAGGAAATGACTTCTCCAAAATATCTCTGAATCAGTAACTAAAACATCACCTCGTTGACTGCAGTGCCCTCCACCCCTTTCCAGGTCATTCTATGTTTCACAGAAGCTGTCAAGCAGGCCTAATGTGAGAGGCAATCCCACAATTGATAAGGAAACAGATCAACTGGGCTTTATCTTGAGGTAAGACAAGAGCATTAAACCTTTTGAAGGAGGGATGCACCATGATCAGATTCTAGTTTTAGGAAGATTACTTATTTATTTATTTATTTGAGACAGAGCCTCAGGCTGTTGCCCAGGGCAAGTTGCTGTGGCATCACAGCTCACAGCAACCTCCAACTCTTAGGCTTAAGAGATTCTCTTGCTTCAGCCTTCCAAGTAGCTGAAGGCACCCGCCACAAGGCCCTGCTATTTTTTGGTTGTAGTTGTCATTGTTGTTTGGCAGGCGGGGCTGGATTCGAACCCACCAGCTCAGGTTTATGTGGCTGGCTCCTTAGCCACTTGAGCTACAGGCGCCAAGCCTATTTATTTTTTTGAGACAAAGTCTTACTATATTGCCCTTAGTAGAGTGCCAAAGTGTCACAGTTCACAGCAACCTCCAACTCCTGGGCTTAAGCGATTCTCTTGCCTCAGCCTCCCAAGTAGCTGGGACTACAGGCGCCCGCCACAACACCCAGCTAGTTTTTGGTTGCAGTTGTCATTGCTGTTTAGCAGCCCGGGGCGGAGTTTAGAACCAGCCAGCCTCAGTGTTTGTGGCTGGTGCTCTACTCACTGAGCTGCAGCGCCGAGCCGAGGAAGATTCCTCTTAAGGTGCGCCTTGAAGGTGTTACCAGGGGAAAGTGAGATGATCAGATTTTCCTTTCAGGAAGAACCAGTGGTCTATGAGGAGCTACTGGTCTACAGGTAACTAAGGAGAATGCCCCTCTAGGGTTTTAGAACACATGAGATCTGCATTTAAAAAGACCCGCCCTTCTAGAAAGAGCTTGAAAGGTATAAAATGGCAAGCAACTGGGGAGACTGAGGAAACTTGGAATCAGGGTGGGAGGTGGATACGCCATGTCTTCCGTTCGCTTCCTTTGCCAGCACTGCCACCAGCCCCTGCAACTGAGCCCGAGGGTGGAGACCCAGGGCCTCCCTGAGGCCTCCGTCCCAGCCCCACTGCAGGGAGACCCAGGGGACAGCAGGGAGGACAGTGCTTTCTCCAGGACAGAGGCCGACAGTGACAAGCTACAGGACAGTGCCTCTACTAGACCCCATCCTGCAGATGGCGGGGCGTCCAAGGACAGAGCCAACCACTTCACCCTGGTTGGGGAGATTGGCTCCATGCAGAGTCTCGGCAGCATCCAGGAGGCCGTTGGGGACATTTTTGACATCTTGTCGGACCAGAAAGTTGTGGACCACCCCCTGTGTGTGGAGTGCACCGACAGTCTTCTAGGGCAGCTGGACACGGAGCTCGCTCTCACAGAAGTTGACCTTCAGAACTACCAACGGTGTCTGGAGACCGCAGGGGAGCGGACCAGAGGGGACGACAGGGACGCGCTGCAGAGGGAGCTGCGGGCCCTGGAGCTAGAGGAGGCGCGGCTGGCCCAGGAGCTGGACGCGGTGGACAGGGCCCACGCCGGGGCTGCGGCGGATCTCGAGGCGGCCCAGGCGGAGACCGCGGAGCTGGAGCGGCAGGAGAGGCAGCACCTCGGGGACTGCTGCGCGCTGGAGTGGCAAGGGCTGGAGCTGCTGGACCAGCTGGGGAGCCTGGAGAACCAGCTGGAGCGCGCCCGGGCCCAGCTGCACCTGCTGAAGGAAACCGACGTCTTCAGGGCCACGTTTGAGATCCGAGAGGAGGGCGCCTTCGGCATCATCAATAACTTCAGGCTGGGCTGCCTCCCCGCCGTCCCTGTGGCCTGGAACGAGATCAGCGCCGCCTGGGGACAGACGGCTTTGCTGCTCCAGGCCCTGGCCACTAAGATTGGGCTGGAGTTTCAGAGGTACCGACTGTTCCCCTGTGGAAGTCGCTCCTATCTGAAATCCTTGGCCGGTGACGACCCCGACCTGCCATTGTTTTGTACTGGCGGGCGGAATTCTTCCTCGGATGACAAATTTGACGATGCAATGGTGGCCTTCCTGGACTGCATGCAGCAATTCGCGGAAGAGGCTGGGAAGGGCTCGCAGGGCCTCTGCCTGCCCTACCGTATCCGCGCGGACAGAGGCCTGTTGGAGGACCTGGGAGGCAGCCGGGAGCACTACTCCATCAGGACGCTTTCTAACACCAAGAAACAGTGGACCAAGGCGCTCAAGTTCATGCTTGTGAATTTCAAGTGGAGTATCACTTGGGTCTCCTTAAGGTACAGTCAAAAGTAACTTTTGGCCTGGCATGATGGCTCGTGCCTGTAATCCTAGCACTTTGGGAGGCTGAGGTGGGAGGATTGCTTGAGCACAGGAGTTTGATACCAGCCTGGGCAACACAGTGAGACCCCACCTCTAGAGAAATTTAAAAATTACCGAGGGCTTGGCGCCGGTAGAACAGTGGTTATGTCGCCGAAGACATCCACCGAGGGTGGTGGGTTTAAACCTGGCCAGGCATGCCAAACAACAGTGACAACAGGCAACAAAAATATAGCCAGGTGTTTTGGTGGGGGCCTGTAGTCCCAGCTACCTGGGAGTCTGAGGCAAGAGAATTGCTTAAGCCCAAGAGTTTGAGGTTGCTGTGAGCTGTGACACTATAGCACTCTACTGAGGGTGACAAAATGAGACTCTGCACCCCTCCCCCTACAAAAAAAATTACTGGCCGTAATAGTATAGGCCTGTCATCTCAACTTCTCTGGAGCCTGAGGTGGGAGGATCTCTTGAGGCCAGGAGTTTGAGGTTGCAGTGAACTATAATCATAGTTCACTGTACTCCAGCCTGGCAACAGAGCAAGACCTCGTCTCAAAAACAAACGAACGAACAAACAAAACCCTCCACTTATTAAAAAATATTGTGCAAATATGATCAGAAATTTTCCTCACTGCATCTTTGTCCTTCTCTCCCCTTCTCTACTCAAACAAGAAATGAGAGGAAAAATTTTGATTATAGAATAAGATTATTTCCACATAAAGGGGTGATGAGGGTAAGAACAAAGGCCAGGATGAGAGGAGAGAGGTGATAAGGAGAGACACAGAGGTTTTCAGTTTTTTTATTAAATAAAATATTTGGAGCTGGGCGCAGTGGCTCATGCCTGTAATCCCAGCATCTGGGAGGCCCAGGCGGGCGCATTGCCTGAGCTAAAGCAAGACCTGGTCTCTAAAAATACTGGTGTTGTGGTGGGGCCGGTAGTCCCAGCTACTCAGGAGGCTGGGGCAAGCAATCGCTGGAGCCCAAGAGTCTGAGGTTGCTGTGAGCTATGACACCACACAGCATTGTACCCGGGGGTGAAAAAAGCAAGACTGTCTCAAAAAAAAGAAGGAAAAAAGAAAAGAACCTCCCCAAACAAAGTATTTGGGGCCACTGTATAGTAAATTTGGGGGTAAGAGAATATCCAAAAATATGTTTTGTTGTGATGTAGAGTGTAAGCCCCGCCTCTTCATTCCTAAAAAATTTCCAATAAATTTCTACACATCCTCTAATGATGTAAAGTGAGCAATGTGTCTTATTGGGCTCCATTGAGCTGTGTTGTTGAGCTTGACTCTGAGGAGAGCCAGCTGCAGTTGCTCATGCCTATAATTCTAGAATTTTGGGAGGCCAAGGGGAGAGGATCACTTGGGCCCAGGCCTTGGAGATTATAGTGAGCTACAGTGACACCACTGCCCTCTAGCCTGGGCAACAGAGTAAGACCCTATTTCTGAAAGAAAGAAAAAAGAAAAGAGAAAGGAAGGACCATTGGGGAATTGGGCTCAGCGCCTAAAGCTCCAGCCACGTAACACCAGAGCTGGCGGGTTGAATCCAGCCCCGGATCTGCCAAACAACAGTGACAACTACAACCAAAAATTAGGTGGGTGTTGTGGCAGGCGCCTGTAGTCCCAGCTACTTGGGAGGCTGAGGGAAGAGAATCGCTGATGCCCAAGAGTCTGAGGTTGCTGTGAGCTGTGGTGCTACGGTACTCTAGTGAGGCTGACATGGTGAGACTCTGTCTCAAAAAAAAAAAAAAGAAAAGATAAAATATGTTGGTACCATAAAAATTGTCTGATAGATCAATTAAGGGGATATAGAGAACTGCAGATTGAAAACAAGCCAACCAGAGGAATTTGGTAAAAATGCAGATTGCCTGTGGCATTCTCCTGCTTCTCCAGGGCTGTAGGAACCAAATCCCAATCTGTCAGCCCTGAGTGATCTGTCCCACCTACCTCTCCAGGTTCCCTCTATACTAACTAATTCCAGGTCCTTTCTGTGTAAAATACTAAAATACACCATGCCCACACTTCCTCTGCCCTTTGCCCATGACCTTCCCTGGGTGTCAATGCTTCTAACCTAGCTGTAAACTTCTTGAGGGCTAATTTAGCTTCATCATCCACATCACAGGACCTAAGAAGAGCTCCTACATATTGAGCATTCTATATTTTTTAAAAAGGTTAATTAAAAAACTCAGGAAAGTATTTAGAGAGATAATGTTTCTAGAATATGTATTCCTTGAATATGTAAAAATTATTTCCATGAAAATTTTGTATTTAAAAAAATGAAAGTTTTAGGGCGGCACCTATGGCTCAGTGGATAGGGCGCTGGCCCCATGTACCAAGGTTGGCCAGTTTGAACCTGGCCTGGCCAAAAAATAGACTGGCGTTGTGGTGGGTGCCTGTGGTCCCAGCTACTTGGGAGGCTGAGGCAGGAGAATTGCCTAAGCCCAAGAGCTGGAGGTTGCTGTGAGCTGT